GGACTCCACGCAGGCCTCAGTAGCATGTCTGCAACATTAATGATGTGATCAGAACTAACAATTTAAGGAAAAAACGGTCCGCATCCTTTATCCACTGGACCCACTGCCGTCTTGGTGGCCAATACCGGCCTAATTGCAGCCGTCGTTCCAGCAGGTGCATTTTTTGGTACAAGCACGGTCCGTTGAGCCGTCTACTTTAAATATGTGTCAGTTGTGCGCACATTGGCTGGTCGTGATCAAAGAGACAACTAACAGTATTTTTACACTATGAAGATGACAAATTTCGACAGTACATCAGCACAGTTTTTAACTATTGAGCCGACTATTACCTTCTCAATTTAGGAGGTATCACGCCTGAAAAATTAAGCGTTGAAATGTTTATGAAAGTCCCCATAAAAGCGAGAATGTCTAATGTCTTATAGGTCACTACCTAGCTCACCGCCAGTGGCCTGACTGAAGAGTTTTCCACTGGGAGCCATATTAGATTTAAGCTTACTTACATTTCACAAAAATAGATAGGAGCATATGAGCTACCGGAGTAGTAATCTGTAGTAACCTGTGCACGGATTGGCTTACAGTACGCTGGATTACGCTGCATTGGCTTAAGTTTCCCCTTTTCAAGCCTGATAGCTTGCGAATGCGACCGAGTGCCATAGATAAAATAGCTGAAATTTACGTTTACCATATATGTGTAGGTCCTTTCAGGTGCACATAGGGGAGCTTAACGAGGGAATGCATCACCAAATGACCTTCAGCCTGTAGGAGTGTTGCGTTATCTAGCAATCTTCCAGGCACCTGATTCTGCCTGTTTTGACTGACGCAAACGCATCTGAATGGTGCGGAGAAAGTAAATACCCTCTGAACAAAATTGGGTTGATCTTACTCTCTCTTTCTTGTTCCAATGGCCTGAACGAGTAAGGTCAAAAAATTGTACAAGAAGTTTTGGTCAGATTGCATCCTAATTGTTGCCACAAGGTTGTCAGCTCTAGTTTATGTCTGTAAATATTCCCACGGAGTCATAGTTAGGTCAACTGTACTGCCAACTAGGACGCCCAAATCTCCTTCTTAGATGCATCCTTCGTCGAAGATCTCATCAAATTTATTTTCACCCTCTAACGACTCACCATCACATTGCTATGAGATCTTAGTTCAAAATAGTTAAAGTCTCTGTAAATAGGAGGTTGAGTTCCCCGTGAATTTGTAGTCAACGTGAAAAATTCGGTATATCACCGAAGGGAGCGGGAACAGATGCACTTGCAGTGGATGCCTCAAAAGTCAACGTCATATAGTCATCTTTTTGCCTTATAAATACCGATTAGAGTGAGAGAGGTGAGATTTCATCATTGCCTGAAAAGATTTTAGCAGTAGAATATCCAGCGACTCTTAAAGAGAAAAAACTTTAAAAGGATTAACTTTCTTGCGGCTCAAACAAATTTTAATAAGAAGAAACAAACAAGAAATATGAAGAGCTATTTATAATACATTGGAAGAAAATAAAAAAATAAAAAATAGAGACAGGTGAGGACAATAAATAACTATTTTTGAAGGCGACTGTATTCATTGAAAAGTTAACAGAGGTCTGAAAGATGCCGAATAAGAGAACATCTAATATTGGCTGAGGTTTTCAATACCATGACAACAATTAGTTATGCTACACAACGAGTGATATGAACTCCTAATAAGACAGCATAAAAACAGGTCCGTAAGAAAGATAATTCGCTTTCTATCACCTCTAGGGCCCTTAGGGTATTTTTTAATGGCAGTCCATATATTTTCCCCTCTTAGATTACTCAGGAATTACTTGCTGCTTGAATGCAGGAATCCTACTTTTTACCAGCTGTTTATTTGTGTTAACTTTTGATATTTTCAATGTAACGAAACTCAGCAGGTCTTTGAAGTATAATGAAACGTTGTGCTGATCGCTGACTCTGCGAATCACGAGAAGTGCATTTTGCCTGTCTTGGATAATACTGCATACTAGTTGAAAAAGGATATAATTACTTCCTTTCCAATTAGTCTCTGTATTTATCGCGCTCTCCCACAGGAATTTTACCTACTTGCTCGGATACGTCAGCATTAACCACGCGCAACCTACGCCTAGTTACCACGAAACCAAGTCTCCACGGGGGTTTTCATACGCCGATTTTGGTTTGATTTAGTTATAGTTTTCCTTTGCCTCTGGAATCAGCACTGCCTACAGGCGATCACTGGATTCTATACACTTGCAGCTAGTGAAACGATGACAAATACATTTGAGGAAACCCACTGAGCACAGAGCGGCGAAAAAATTGAACATATGAATCCATAAACCTTGATGCGGTGGTATGCAGACGTCAATTTGCGCATTCCATGATCTTATAATGGATTGGCTTGATAGAGAATTGCCGAAAGAAATGAACATTTTCATGATCTAGATTTTTTTGGGTTTAGAAAGCACTGTTTGCAATTCCACAGCAGAAATTAAATTGTTCAGAAAATTATGATACATATGCAATCAGTAGAAGAAACACCTTTGATTCCGTTAGAGACACACCTCATTGGTCTTATCCACAGGAAAACCACGAACATCTTTTGCTGCAGCACTCACTATCGTGGAAGCAAAAGTTTCCCAGATCGAGGCACTTAACGCACTTTCCACTGCCGAATGAATCCAAATCACAGACAAGTTTGCCGCAACATCTATGAAAAATTGTTTTACTGCAGAATTCGCCTTCGGCTTTGCACGTAGCCTCACCTAGTAAAACAAATGTCACAAAATTAATTATTGTACGTAATTAAGGAAGTTCGCAGTTAAAATCTGAGGAAGGTTAAATGGCATCGCAACCATAAGTTGGAAAAAGGTTATGATACTTCTGCAAACTAAGGACAGACTGGGTAAGTTAGGAAAGTGAACTGAGATGTAGTTGACCCAATTATGAACTAAAATTGCAGATACGTCTATTGAACAGAAACTGGAGTTTCGGAGGTTAGACCACAATTCCCAGCATACAACTCACACTGTAGGAACTGATCATAATTTTGATATTTATGAAGCGACCATCGTCAGCCGAGGCACCTTGAAATCAGACCGATTCACGCTTTAAACATGGTATTAGGAGGCGAATAACATAAGCAGCTTTTATAGTACTGCCACATTCAATGCATAAAGACCGGGCCTAAATGATCACAAGGAATATAGGAAATTTGAATGAACGTGGCCTCCCGAGGAACCTACCAGAAGGTGAGGCAGACAGAACGTCTATTTTCGTTAAGCCTCAAAAGCATCCGTCAAAATGTCGAAATATCTAAAGAATAAAACCTCAAAAAAACAAGCCGGAATAGTTCCCGATGCCATTGAAAGTCTAGCCGAATGTCAGTGTTAATATCCTTCAGAATGGTGAGATGACCCGGGTATTCGAAACGACAGCAACAGTACAATTATGTGGCGGTGTGCAATGTAGTTCCTCGCATATACACCCCATGAACATCACCTGCGCATAAATGTAAACTTAATTAGTTGGACCAACAACAACGTAGGCCATGCATTCATTCAGAAAAGGGCAACAGTTCCTTGTGCGGAACACCCTGTAATTTAATAGACACAGCATCCTCCTTATTGCGTTAGAGTAGCCAACTTCGTTTGAATATTCCACATAATCATGGACTGCAGTGATTTTATTCATTATGTTTCTATGGATTTTCTAAAGTACCGTTACTTTTAGTTTCATTAGTTAATGCTTTAGTTTAATCTCTTTAGTTTAGTTTAAATTTAAGTCAACTCAAGTGAAGTTTATTACGGGAAAAATAGGCAAAAGTCTTTGAAATCCCTATTAGTCAACAGAAGTTAAGAAATGCATCGGCACAGCCGGACCTTTCAAAGAAGGTCGTTTACATAATTGTAGGCGACTACTCACTTGTTCCAAGTAATATAAACACATGTGGTGATGTCAGTTTACACGAGCCAACAGTTCTAACTGAGCAAAAAGAGCAGACAGTGAAAAAACTCCTAAGACATGGCTCAGTTTTGTTTTACTTTAGTTAGTTAAATAGTATCCCTATTTTTTGTCTAGAGTACATTTTTTGTTAGCTAGTTTACTTTACTTAATTGTACCGTATTTGAGTAAGTTTAGCTTAGTGTTGTTAGCGACATTCGGTAGCCTTTTGGCTTAAAATGGAGGAAAAGCCCAGTTTTCATGGTTTAAGTTACATATCGAAAATTCAAATTTCTTTGCGCAATTCCGCAATTTGTGTAGTTCCGCAATTTGTGTAGTTCCGCAATTTGGGGATTTCTTGCTTCCTATTGGTTGTATTTCCCGATTTAATTATCGCACACTTTTTGTTGCCAAGCATTAGGTTATTGAAATAGTTGTGCCTATTATTCACTACTTTTGTGGGCTCTATTTTTTATTTTTTTCTGATATGCCTCACCCATAAAATCCCTATTGCTGCCGTTCCTGTAAGACACAAACCTGGACTTTCTGTTACTGTGGTTGTCTTTACAAGGAATCGTTGCCCATGAAAGCTCTAAGAAGTGACTGAGCCTAGTTATATAAGTTCATCAACCCAAGCGAGAGAAGAGCATAAATATTTTAAAGAACCTGCAAAATCACCAAAAATTCTCTTCGTGATTCCAAATGTGAGCACTAGGGGGTAAAGGCAGATTTTTTAGAGCAAACTTAAACTGTTCGAGTTTAATTCAAGCAACTAATATTGGATTATGGATTTACTCAGAGTCTGACCAAGAAATATTTTACAACATGGTTCGAATACACTTTGCCCGAAGTCAGTCAATGTCGCATCATTTAATAGCAGTTTATTAGAAATACAATTTCAATTTAGCCACTGTTGGTCACCAACAAAAAGAATCCGGGGAGAATGAAACATGACCGCTTGTCAATTCGTGGATTGCCAACAGTCGGTGTCTGGAGGAAACGCTTTGGTTAAACAAATCGGTTACCAATTACTAGGTCATAGGACCAAGAGTTTAGTGGCTGTTAATGTGTCCACCAGCAAATTAAGCTTAACACAGTTTTCAGCCTAAACCATAGACTTTAAAATGAGGGAAAGAGGGGTGGATAAAGGCATCTATTTCTCCGTCTGAATGCTATAGGGAACAACCTCGTCATCACGTCGCCCCATAACGACATTATCTGGTAAACCACGGAGTGCTATAGTCCAGCAATTCGCATCAGATATACTGACAACTACGGACCTTGGAAGCATCACTTCTCGGTCAAAAGTAGCAATAGCACTACCTTTTAATAACGGATAAGCGCATACTGATCTATTGGCCTCCTAAGCAAAAAAGCATATTTTTTGGTGTTAGTCACCGATGGGCAAATACCCACTGGACAGAATTCGAGCCGACCGCAATAACAGGAAACCTTTTTGTCAGAAAATAGTCGAAGAACTCCGGTTCTTGGATGCTCATGATAGGCCTCACACAGAGCGAATGCAGCGTTTTTCTGTGTAGTCGCAGATCATTTGACTGACCACTGGACAAACCGAAATTATTTCGTTGATCAATCCATTCACAATTTTTATCTATCTTGTGACAGCACTTGCGCCGATATATGCAGCAGAGTACAAATAACACTCTGATAATTAAATTTCTTTTCTGGGTAATTAGTCTACGTCGATGAAGTTTTCTTTATTATAAAACAATTTCACGGACTTATCTGCAGCATAATCACGAAACCTCTCATTTTTAGAATAACAAACGTTCGATCATGGCTTCTGACGATGGCCAGTTCGTGCCTTATAGCAGGCTGGAAGCACATGCGTTGACTAGCGCCTGAAATTCGAAGATAGCCATAGTACATTTGTGCCGCCTTTAGCGGAATTTCATATTCCTCACCCACCTGTACCCGCTGTTAGGACAAGGTCGAGAAAACTTGATGCGGCATCGGACGCAGCGTGAGCCTGCACCTATGCGTGCTGACGTCCCCCTAACCCCAGGCGTGGTAATTGTTATGGGATCATAACCGCAATAAGGCCTGCTATGCTCTACTCTAACGCCCACGTTAGTCCAACGCATTTACCACGCGGCCTGTTTTGCAGAACGTCTAACATTTTTGATATATCAAACTTACCGGTATCCTCAAAACCAATTTGTCGACATAAGCGAATATTGTCTGCTGTTCTCTCCTATTTAAAAAAATTCAACTATGCTATACTAGGAATATTGAAATGGAAGGAAGGATTACTAAAACAAGGTAGTCTACTTATGGTTGTTCAAAAAGGAAATATAGATGAGAGACGTACCGGAGACGATATTCATGCAAAATAGTCCAACGACCAGCAATAATTTCATAAACATCATCCAGATATAATGCTGGTGTATGCACTTTCGTTATTTATATCACCGAAGTAAATCGCGTAAGCCTCCAGCGAAATGGACGTGACTATGGCCATTTTTGGTTCACTCAAGGAGTTTGAAACATAAACAAAGGAGAATACTGTCCGACAGTCAGTTGTTTACCTTTAAATGTTTTCACGCATTTGACTTGCCGCATCTCGTGATTATTCTTGCATCATTTATGTTACGTAAATCGTGACAAGTCAAGTGTTGTGAATGGCGCCTTCTTGCTACTATGGGCAGGTTCAGAATACCAAATCCGTGTGCTTCTATTTACGTGATCTTTTCTAAGGATGAATTCTGGATGAATTCCGGTCATAATACAAGTGTATTTGTGCAAAATGTCTGGCAAACAGCGTAAGGCCTCTAGTTAGGTTTATAGTGATATTTAGGTACACAATTTATGGCTAGAGTTACGGTTAGTGTTAGGGTAACTTGGTTTAACATGGACGCTTAAGCTTAGGGATGAAAATAACTATAGTGTTACGAATTAGATTTGGCTTCAGGATAGGTTTACGGTTACGAGTGTGTGTGTTACTTCGACCATCGTAATGGATGCTGTCCAGCATATTCCAAATAGCAGGGACTGCGACTGTAGACAGATTATAGTGAAAGTAAACAAACGGCCATCTATTCCACTCTAAACCCTCTCCCCGCTTGAACTGGTGACGAGATAAAGTCGAGACGACCGAGCAGGAATCGGGCGTAAGCGGCTTTCTCCAATGCAGCCAGAACCACTTTCTGATTTAGTCTTAAGTGTCAGTAGCCTTTTACGCTGGTATTACTGCACTATCTACCCTCACTTACCCGTAGTAGGTGCCCAGAATGATTTGAGGAGCCCTAGTCTCATGTTTTTATACTGCAATTGCTATTTCTACTGCTGCCTCTAACGGTGTCTGTGATCGTAGCGCTTTTACTACTACTGACTCTAATATTTGGTTAGAAATGACACTGATTGGAATCAGATCTTGGTCTGTGTTCCCTCGACCTCAACTAGGAGTGGGAACCTGAATTTTTGCTTTTCCGAGTAGAGTGGGTATTTAAGGCTCGGAGGACATCGATGCTTACCCTGCTTATTTTCTAAAGTTTAAACTATTAAGGTTAGGATACTGCTGTATGCAGCGCTCTGTGTATGCTAGAACTGCTAGTTCTAGTATTCATACTTACTAAGCCCAGTAAGTGGCAAGCTACATTGCGACCTGTACTTGCATGTCGGAAATTTTAACCTTTTATGCAGTCGTAACCTAATGAGGATTTAGTATGCTGAAGGGTTAAAGAAACGTTTACTTAATAATAGCCGAAGATCTACTTTGCATTTAGGTCGTAACAAAGTGGCAATAAACTGACGATATAGTATCAAGTAGATGCTAGTTCGACCACCGATTTCGATGACGTCC